CATGATATATTACCCAAACTTATGCTTAGTAAGCATACTTTTAAGATCATATAAAGTGTTTTTGAAGACTGTAGAAGTAATGAATCATTTAAAAATGTAAACATGGTTTTCATAAAACAAAGTCATTTTTTATTGTTGAGCATTTTTTGTGCATATAAACACACTCAGTGATGGAAGTTTGAGTTGTGTATTTGCTCTTTGCGGCTGTTCATTTGTGTGATTTCCTTATTATATCATGTATTCCTTATTATACTAATGTATTCGTATCTTCCACAGCAATTGGAGTTGTGTCAGCGCCTGTACAAACTTCACTTCCAGCTCCTCCTGCTGTTTCAGTCCTATTGTAAACTTATTGGACAAGTGAACACCATCAGCTCTGTGCCAGAGGTACACAATGCACCTATGACCCCACTGTTTCTGATTGCAAAATAAATGAAAAAATTGTGACAGATTGTGTGTATTATGTATATCTACGATGAAACGGTAACCATAAACAGTCTGTTATGTAATTCTGCATCCATGCTGAAAGATGTCCATGTCGTATCGACCAGCAAAACAATTTATGTAATGTAATGCAATTTATAAAACGGTTAGTTCCAATCCTTGATTCTGATTGGTCAATAGCTGTGCTTTATTCATGATAAAACAACACGGCTATGATGACCGCTTCACCCAGCGGTTCTATTTATCACTGCGCAACACCCTTAGCAACCACCTGTATCAACATAAACATTGAGAAAAAAACGTAAGAAATAAAAGGCTAAAATGTTTAAAGTAAATTTTGATTTACTAGGTGGCATGACAGTAGATGAGTGGTTTGAGGGACAATTTGGAGAGACTAATACAAATATGAACCGTCATGCTCAAGTGCTGAAATATAACATTGATACATTCGAGAAGACTCGTAATGGAAGGGCGTTGTTAGGCACGACGCGAAGCACAGCCTCTCGAACCTTATTGCTTAAGTAAGGCATCTTTGAGAGACTATAGAGAAAACTTTATTTGAGCAAAAGGTAAATTAGTTTGGCTTACTATAAAAAATTAATATTTGAAAACATCCAGTCTTAGGGGCGTGTGTTTACACTACATCATTTTCTACTATAAATTTACATGACAATGGAGTTTTGGGGGCCTGAAAATGCAAACTTTTGAAAACGGGTTTCAAAGTGCAAGTTTTTGAAAACTATACGTTTATTGTCTCTGTGTAAACTACAAAAACACAAATCTGTGAAAATGGTAACGACATCGCCAACTACTGGCCTGGCATTAATAATAGATTGTTTTCACGCGAAAAACGCAAAGAAAAACTTTTCTGTTTTTTAGTACTTCGCTGTCGTGTAAACGTACCCTTAATCATGTGCTTTCAATCTGTAGCTTTGGAACATGTCTCGGGAATTGAGCGATCTGAAGAATTGCCTGCGGCTAGCTGAAGCCTCATTGGCTGGTGATCTAGTGGACCGGCAAAGGCACGGCACCCAGCCCATCTTCCCCAGCTCAGAGGCAGCTGTACAGGCCATCCTGGAGTGCTTGAACAACAACGAGTTCTCTATGGCCATCCGCTACACTCAAGAGTGCAGGTGAGCTATGACACCACTAGGGAGAGACAAAACTCTGTTAATTAGGTGGTAAAGACAACCATGAGGAAATAAAACTCAAATGTATTTGTGGCATTTTTATTTTATTTTAGTTGTTATTTTTGGAGTCATGAAAATGTATTTGGTTTAGTTAGTCTTCCCCACTCGAGTTAGTTTTTATTTCAGTTATTGAAAATGTTTTAATTTTCTTTAACAATAATACTGGTGTTTAATAGCATGCTAGTTTTTACTGTGGTCTTGAAATTGGAATTGAATAGCATGACATTTTGATGGTATCAAAATGTTATTACTGTTATATAACTTTGTTCTCCTTTTTAGACGAATCTGGCCAAATGACATTTTCGGCGGTGGCTCAGAGGACGAGATCCAGACTCTCCTCAACGTCTACTTCCGCCACCAGACTCTGGGCCAAACTGGCACCTTTGCACTGGTCGGCTCGAACAAGGACATGTCCGAGGTCTGCACAAAGATCATGGAGCTCAACGGAGAGATCCGGGACATGATCCGTCGCGCTCAGGGGTACCAGGTATTCTCATCCAGCCTCCTAGACTCCAGCGTGTCCGGTTTGAGTCTCTGACAGGAAGCCCGCGGCACCCCAGACCAGCCCTGGCCTGGACCCCCCGACCACTGGATCCCTCCATAGTCACCCAACCTCTCCTGCACCAGCCCTCATCCCATGATCCTCCACTCCTGCCACCCGCTCCAGGCCAGATCCAGTGTGACGTTTGGGAGTGCTGCCACCCTTTTGAGGGTTTAACACATAAAATTGTGCCCTTTTTAGGGAAACTTGCACGAGCATCCTTGACTGTACTAAATAGGAAGGGGCTCCTGAGAGTGAGCGTGTCCTCGGGTCCTCAAAAGTGCAGCAATAACGGAGAAACTGAGCTGCTCCTGCGAGATTCCTTGGATTGAGTCACTCAAACGCATCTTTTAATTATTGCACTATGTTGACGTTTCAAGTCGTAAATCATGAGGGGAAAAATAAATCCTGTTTGCTACTGATAAATGCTGCCTTTTTGGGAAAGGAAGCACCTGAGTGAGAACTTCTGCTTGGTTTGTTTGTTAACGTGGGGAATGTGCAATGATGGATCATTGAAACGGATGCCTTTCTACTGTAACTGTTCAAGATTGTCTTTAAAGGCGAACAGGACAAGCCGCACAAATGAAGGAGGGACAAAGGATACTATTGTATGTCGTCGGTCGTCGTCATGATACTAGTAACTGTTTAAAGCTGAGAGCTTGTGTCTTTGTGAACCTGTCAATCCCTTACGTACCGCTAAATATCAGCCTCCGCACTTGCACAAAGACACGCAAACATGCTGACATTCAGCGATTTGTTCATACAACTGATATGCTACGGCTAAACCTGATTCTACTTCAAGTGCTGATATGAGATTGTTTGGCTGGTTTTCAATCAACATCCTGCGCTACGCCAAACACAGGCTCGCCTTTAGGGTAAATTTGTATTTAAGAAATCAGTGTGTTGAACGTAGTTTTTGAAATTGTTCTTTGTCGGTTCAATTTGCCAAGCATGCATCATTGTACTTTCGAGTTGTATTTATTAAAAGTGTATTTTATTAAAATGTTATTTGTATAAAGTGGAAAAGGGAGGCATCACATGAAGATTAGTCTTTGTCTCTAGTGCATGCCTAGACAGATTGCACATTGTAAAGCTTCTTTGAGAATTGTTTCTTTTCGTTCACTATGTAAATACTTAAGCTTTTGTGAAATAAATTGTGCTTTCTTCATGTTGAGATTCTTCTGGTTGTTCGTTTCAATAAGAAATTATGGGCCCGTATTCATAAAGATTCTAAGAATCCTCTCAGAAAACTCTTAATTTATCTTAAAAACTTTTACGTAGGAGTCTTAGCTTAAGAGCGATTCGGGACCGATCTGAGAGCAACTCTTGAGTAAGGAAAAGACAAAAACTCTCATCTTAGTGAGGAGGCGGGGCTGACCCCATTGCTATGTATGACACAATCTTTTGAAGACTGTGATTGGTTGGTTGTCCAAGAAGGAAAAAAAAAGAAGAGCCATTTTAAGTATAGAGTTTACTCACACACACACACACGCACATTATATTTATGCATATAAATCCTTTTTTTTTACCTTGCTGTTAATTTCCTAAGGTATTTGATTGGCTTAGAATGATAAAATTGTTCCACTCTTTCCAATTACACTGATTGCTGTCTATTTAAGTGGTGGTTTGAATGTTTGTTTTAATATAGCAAACATGGATTAAAAAACAAGAAAGCCCGACTGGTCAGAAGAACCGTGTTTACTGTTAGCCCAGTTAGTGGATGAACACTAGGCCATCATTAAAGGAAAATTCGGGCAGGGTGTCACAGCATGGAGTGAGAAGCGGACGTGGGAGCTTATAGCGCAAATGATTAACGGTTCATTCCCCTGCTTGTGCGCACCAGGGAAGCCTGCTATATTCATCACTGCAGGTTTTTTGAGCCTGCAAGGTGGGAATGTCCAGTGGAAACTAAATGAACTGCGACACAATAAGAGGTTCTGAAAGTGCTGTAATGTTTGTGTGATCACTGCTTACAGAAGGTTGTGACAGACCCAAATCACTGCTGCTTTATTGCATTTTCCCATTTGCCAAATATCTTAATGTAGTGATTACTTTCATTTCTGGCGTTATGGCATTCCTGCGCTGTGTCGGAGATTTTAGCGTGTGTCTAATGAGATCAGTCACAAACATGATCCCTGCACGATCTCATCTTTAGTGTCTTATTAACTTACTGTCATCTATTGTCTGCATCACATTTCTTCTCCCTCTTCATCGTTCTGTCATTTTCTCCTCTGCTAAAGAAACTCTTAAGCCTCTTAAAAGTCCTCATCCGTACTCATAACAATTTTGACCTTAAGACCTCTTTTAAGGGTTAAGATGCTTTCTGAATGACTTTTCTTTATTAGGATTTTCTCTTTAATTTTAAGAGTAAACACCCACATTTCTAAGAATTTTCTTAGAATTTTGTCACTAAGTTGTTGCTAAGTTGCCACTCTTTGCATTAAGATTCTTTATGAATACGGGCCCTGGTTTTTGCATAGTCCAAGAAAAGTGATTTCGCACTGGCTACAAATTGAAACAAAGACATTAATTTCAGTGACACTTAATCTTAGGGTTTTATGCATGCATAATCTTGAACAAAAAGAATATTCCATTATGCATTACCATAATTAAATTGTGGAACAAGATCTCAATTTACATACAATGATAGTGGTGTTTTGGACCCCATTGACTTTCATTGCATGGACAAAAACATTATTCATTTTCTTGTTCTGCAGAAAAACATTTGACAAGTTTGGAAAGAAATAAGGGAAAGCACATAATGTTTTCATTTTTGGGTGAGTGAAGTCCTTCATGAAGCAGAAACACTCACACAGACACTAGTATTATGCTGCAATACTTTATTAGGTTATATAAACTTACACCTTTACACAAATACAAAAATACAATACATCCCACCCAATGTCAAATGGGCCACCAATACAGATTCTAAAACGCATACTTATACACCTTTACATTTAGACTATGTACTTGAAACTGTAGATGGTGTCACAGGAAAGGCCTTTGCCCTTGCAGCGGCCACACAGTTCCTGACGGTGAGGACGGCGCAGGTCAATGTGCCTCTGCTTTCGTTCACAGCAGCAGCGAGCCTTGCAGCAAACCTGGTAGAGGTCAAACAGAGCAAGGTCAAACTGCACCAACAGCTTCAAAATAAATGCACAATTGCGATCAACACCTACCTGGCACTGAATGGATTCAACCCTGAATGGATTCAGTCCCGCCTGGCACTTTCTGCAGTGCTGTTTGAAGTACACCTGTGGGAATGATGCCAATTTAATTAGGTTTAAACCTTAAGTTTAAATGTTTTTAAAGTCACTGCATTTTACCTTGGAGGTTCCCGAGATGCACCACACAAATGCACTTTCCCATCGAATATTGCACTTACTGCAGTGATAAAATCCATATTTTTGCTCCAGAAACTAAATAAGAATAAATTGTTAGAATAGAACTCAAATAGTTTACCAAAACTCCATACACGAGTAATTTTAAAGGGATAGTACACCCAAAAAAGAAAAATGTCATTTACTCACCCTCATGTTGTTCCAAACCTGTATGAGTTTCTTCTGTTGAACACAAAAAACGATATTTTGAAGAATGTTGGTAACCAAACAGTTGACGGCACCCATTGAAATCCATATACTATGGATTTCAATGGGTGCCGTCAACTGCTTGGTTACCAACATTATTCAAAAAAAAGTTGTTCAACGGAGGAAAGAAACTGGTTTGGAACAATTTGAGGGCAAGTAATGACAAATTTGGGTTGAACTATCCCTTTAAGGAACAGACAAACAATCAAATTGCTCGTTACATATTCATGTTGAAACGAGGGGTCCTAAAAGAAAACGTTTTAAATGGAGTGAAGAGCCGCATTTTATTCGCTTTTGCAAGTTTCAAGTTCCAGATAAAATATCATTCGAATTCTAGTAGCCTATCGGTCACAAGCGGTATTCTTCCGATCAGCTTTGAGCTAATTATTTGTAGCCTACATTTCCAAACCACTTGACTAACGTTACGTAGTGTATAAATTACAAGCCTAAGTCACATAATTTCATAGAAAAATAACCATTGTATTTTAGGGAGAAAATATGTTTGCCAATGCCGTGCTAAACCTTTCCCTTAATATACCTGAAAGTTAGACCGTTTATTTCGCTGAATCAACGACTTCTCCTGCCGTGATTCGTTGTGCGTGGTTTCGTCCCGTTTACACTTCTCCTCGTCGTCGTCCGTCTCACTGTCCGTCTCGTTGCTCTCATCCCCGCCATCGTCCTTACTTTCACCGGCAGTCGTGGATAAGGAGAAAATCCTGCGGTCGAAGACGGGGGAGTAGATGGCGACGCCGGGACGGGAGAAGCGGACGGAGTTGACAGGTGTGCTGGGCAGAATGTCTTTCATTTTCAGTTTTAGTGGGTTGATGGACGGCGTCCTCGGTGAGTCCCATTTATCGCCGCGATAAAACAGCGTTTTGGGGCCGAGTGAGCACTGGACAGTGGCATCTACCTTTGGGTTTACCTGCACACCGAACTCTCTAGTGTTGGCCTTGCGGAGGCGCGGGGTCAGATTCGGGTTCACCTGAGATAGTATCGCTTTTAACTGCGCGCGTTTGTAAACGTCAAAATAATCGGGGGCATCTGGCGCAACATACAAATTGTTTCCCTTTTTATTCCAGTTTTGCTGCTTAAATTTCGCGTTGCCGGGGTAAAAGGGGAAATAGCCAGGATACCCTCCATAGTTGTAAGGTGGAATGAAATACTCCTCCATTGTGGTGTAATCATTAGCAGAGGTGTTGCTGAATATTTATGATCTTCATTCTTCCTGAGCACACACCTTAATTGGCGCGACCTAATTAGCATCGATCACGTGTGGGCGTGGCTCAGCAATACGAATATGATGCATTAGCATTAGTGATCGCTAGGAATCGGCAGTTTTTCCCTTTTTTATATATTTAATTTAGCATGAGTTTAAAATCCAGTTGGGTAGGCCTACATTATTTTACATGAAAAGTCGAGTAGTGACAAGTTAACGCAGGTTCCACAACTTCACCTACCTTTATTTTAAAAATAGCATGTTTTTTTCTTTTATGGAATTAAATTAAGACGATTTCTGGAATGTAACACAAATTTACTATTTCATTTCAACATGTTTTAAATTATTGCATAATTCTTATAAATGTAATTTTTATGACCTCATAATAATTAAGAGACAAAAAAATTATTTATCACAAAAATATAAAATAATGAATAAATAAATGTTTTATTTATAAATAAATGTTTATAAAACTATGAATATATGTTTATAAAATATATATTTGATTAAAAACAAGGTAATTATAATGGTGACATTGTCAACCCGATTACAGATTAGCCTTTCTTTTACTGACTTGAGTCGAGATTTGAAGAGCAATAATAATTTGTGAGGTATGTTTGTTGCTAGGCATTTAAATAAGTGGAGGGTTATAAAAGCTGGATTTTAAAACCCTCTGTTATGCTTCAGGCAAACAACGAGAACTAAACTAAAGGTTTACTAAAGGCCTTACATTTTAGGTTCACTAGCTGTTCAATCTAGCTTGCATTAAGTGTGTTTCTTATGCTGAGGATTTTGTTCTGTTTTATTTGTCAAGAACCTTTTCATTTTATAATAAAAATAAAATAAAGTATGGATCACTTGTTTGCTGCACAGTGCAAACTAAAGTGATTTGTGATTTTTTTTAAAGTATGTATATATATATAACTGGATGTCTTCAAGCACTGTTAGTAGTAGTAGTCATTTAGCAGACATTGTCTCAACCAAAGTAACTTTTATTTCAGGGACAGTCCTGTTAGATCAGCTTGCCCATGATATGGGCACAAAAGTGATAAGTGTTCCCATTGATTCTTCACTTCATGAATTAAACAACCTTTGGATTACCACCATCCCATACAGAACACCTGACACATTTATATATAATGAACATGCATCACTCTTCAATATTCAAGTAAGTTCAATGCTCAGTGCATTGTTTTTATTCCAGCTCAATGTATCATACATTTACATCATACATCATACAAAGCACTGTTTGGATTTGTTTTCCCTCCTTCTCCTCCTCTGTTTTCTCTTTCTAGCCAAGCATCTCTATAATTCATCTATATGGGATCCAATAAATTTGACTATAACCTTTCAAATTTGACAAACAAGCCCTGCAGGTAAACACAAGACTCACACCATTGATTTTCCCTCATGGATGCGACAAGGTAGGATAGGTGTTGAAAAATAATATTGGGTGATTATAGAGAGCAGCAGATAGTTGCAATAAAAATAATTGTATGCTTATCAAAGTGATACATTATTTCATTAAATAATGTACATTGGCGGTTTCGCTTGAGTCAGACAGGCAAATAGCCCAGATAATTTGAACATGGCCCCTTCAGAGGCCCCAATGGCTGGTTTAAAACTAATAAAACAATCTCGGGGAACATATTATTGGCATTAATGTATTACAATGGCAATTTTTCCTTCTGGCTCCGTTCAGGACACATTACCATTAGCCTTCCAGATGGAGATACTTTCCATATATGCATTCTGATATATTACGCATGTAATTCAATTTAAATGTACAAATCTGTTTCCATATTACATTGTATTTTCATGTATTCTAAAGTGTTGATTTTATTTCGTAATCAAGGTCTAGCTAATAAAAACACCTGTTCGAAGCACTTCCACAACATGCAGTTTAAACTGTGCAAAAGCTTCCCAAACTGGAAATTGGATTGACCAATTCAAAATGACTGTATATGAAGTACTGTTTTCAATTCTGTTTATATATTTTTTAAATACATTTTTCAAAGTTTGAGCTGTTAACATTAATGTAATGTACTGTATGTATTTCATTCATAAATGGTTTGTCGTTGAAAGTCATTGAGTAATCCATTTGGATTACTGGATGTGATCAGTATTCCTGTGATATATGGTTCATTCATATAGGGTTTTTCAGTCAAGATATTCAGTTGTCATTTAGAGCCACTGGAGAAATCTAATTGTTGGGTTTTTTTGTAATCATATTTGCCCTATCATACACTAGCAGGAGGAAATGTGTTATTATGGAGGCTGGAATTGCGCAGCGCTTGGATACCTATTTACCCGTCAAGTGCCTGGGTAATAATTGATAGATTTCCTGAGAGGACAAAAAACGGGACCAGATGGGGCCAGGTGCATTATAGCGCAGTTGCAAGCGACTCGGAGTGAGGTAAGAGACACAACTCACTTGTTTAACATTAGGAAAGTTGTCCAGTTCTCCGGCACCATGACAGTTGCTTGGATTGTTTTGGCGCTCGTATTGTTCAGTCAGCTACAGTGGACAGCAGCTGATCCTGGCGCAGGACTGCACACATGGGACAGATTTAGCAAACTTCCATATCCCGGTGACAAAGCCTTCCTTTATGACATTTTCCCTGAGAAGTTTATGTGGGCTGTCGGCACCGCTGCATATTCAGTCGAGGGAGCCTGGGAAAAAGAGGGGAAGGGTAAGTCTATCTGGGACACTTTTACTCGCGGAGGGACCCGTGTATCCAGAGGCGACGTGGGCAGTGACAGTTATCACAACATCCCGGGGGACCTCCGAGCCCTGCAGCAACTTGGAGTCAGTCACTACCGGTTTTCTCTGTCCTGGCCGCGCATCTTCTCCAATGGCACCAAAGAAAGTTACAACGAAAAAGGTGTGGAATATTATAAAAGTCTAATTCGAGGTTTGAAGGATGTGAAAGTGCAACCTGTTGTGACTTTATATCATTGGGACCTGCCAGACAGTTTGCAAACCCTCTTTGGAGGCTGGAGCAATTCGGTTATGGTGGATCTGTTCAGAGAATATGCAGATTTTTGTTTTAAAACATTTGGATCGGATGTGAAATTTTGGATTACCATTGACAATCCTTTTGTTGTGGCCTGGCATGGATATGGAACTGGGGTTGTGGCTCCTGGTATCAAAAATGACTCAGATTTGCCTTTCAGAGTGGGACACAATCTTCTGAAGGTAATTAAAGCCACATATTTATTTATTTAATTAAAAAATGTATCTGTATAAAAGTATCTGTCTGTCTGTTTATATATATATACGTGTATACAGTATATACACTCAATGGCCACTTAATTAGGTACACCTTCAGAACTGCCTTCATTTTTTGTTGCATAGATTCAAAATTCCTCAGAGATATTGGTCTATATTGGATTGAGATCTGGTGAGTATGGAGGTATTTTGAGTGTAGTAAACTCATTGTCATGTTCAAGAAACCAGTTTGAGATGATTTGAGCTTTGTGCCATGCCATGTTATCCTGATGGAAGTAGCCATCAGAAGATGTGCAGCACATAAAGGCATGGAAATGGTCAGAAACAATACTCAGGTAGGCTGTGGTTTTTAAACGATGCTCAATTGTACTCCCCACCATTACACCACTACCTCCAGTCTGGTAGTGGTGACCGTTGAAACAAGACAGGATGTATACGGTATGCTTTCATGTTGTTTGTGCCAAATATTGCAGCAGAAATTAAAACTCATCAGACCAGCAACGTTTTTCCAATCTTCTATTGTCCAATTTTGGTGAGCCCATCTGAATTGTAGCTGCAGTTTCCTGTTCTTAGCTGACAGGAGTGACACCGGTGTGTCTTCTGCTGCTGTAGACCATCTGCTTCAAGGTTCGACATGCTGTGCATTGAGTTACTGTTGCATTTCTATCAGCTCGGACAAGTCTGGTCATTCTCCTCTGACCTCTGGCATCATCAAGGCATTTTCACCCACAGAATTGCCACTCTCTGGATATTTTCTCTTTTTCTGACCATTCTCTGTAAACCCTAGAGATGGTTGTGTGTGAAAATCCCAGTAGATCAGCAGGTTAAATCACCTTTCTTCCCATTCTGATGCTCAGTTTAAACTTCATATATATATATAAACAAAAAAAATGATTATTAATAGGCTAGGAAGATAGGCTATGGTTATTTTTTTTGTTATTTTTATTATTATGTTGGTTCAATTTGTGTAGTTCAAAGTGCTGTATTATATGTTTTTCAAATATAATCTATAGCCATGTATTTTGTTTCCTCCTGTGTTGCCGTCTAGGCTCATGCTGCAGCCTGGCACTTATATGACGACCGGTATCGTTCCCGTCAGGGTGGGCTAGTGTCCATGGCTCTGGCCTCCCACTGGATCAAGCCTAGCAGAACCAGGCAGGAGAACCGCAGAGCCTGCCAGTGTTCCCTGGACTTCGTGCTCGGCTGGTTCGCCCGTCCGTTGTTTGTGGATGGAGACTATCCACCCTGCATGAAACACAATCTGACCCACAGACTGCCGTCCTTCACTGGGGCTGAGAGCGTGTATGTTAATGGTACAGCGGACTTCTTTGCCCTGTCTCATGGACCGGCTCTTAGCTTTCAGCTGATCAATGACAGTCTGCGCTTCGGCCAGACAGAAGACCTAGGTCTGAGGATGCTTCTGTACTGGGTCCGTGCCGAGTACAACAATCCTCCCATCTTTGTAGTGGAGAGTGGCTGGTATGGAAGTGGCAACACGAACACAAAGGATGCCAAGCATATGTACTATCTGAAGCGCTTTATTATGGAGACTCTGAAAGGTACACTGTATATGAACTGAGGATATTTGATGAAATGATAAGCATAGAATTAATGATAATAGAACATATCAGTCAGTATGTTGTAGGCATATGGCCATTTTGAGATTATAATATCTTTTAATGGTCAAAGAAGCATTTACAATGTGTTCCAACCATCATTTAGCACTGCTATTTTCAACATTTCACAATCACTAACTGATTATGAACAATCATTTTCTCCTCTTTATAGCAATCCGTTTTGATAGAGTAAATGTGATTGGCTACACAGCCTGGTCTCTGCTGGACGGGTATGAGTGGTACCGGGAATATGGAATACGACGGGGGCTATTCTTTGTGGATTTCAACACTCCTGATCTGAAGAGAGAGCCGAAGACATCTGCCACTTTCTATAGCAAACTAATAGAGAAGAATGGCTTCCCTCAGCTTCCCGAGAACCGCCCTGCACAGGGTGTCTTTCCATGTGACTTTGCCTGGGGAGTGGCTGCCAATTCCATACAGGTAGGCTACAGCTTATCCTGCTTGCTTGCCATCCATGCTTAAATAATTATTTTGTAAAAACACAACTTTTATCATTGATTTGATACTGTATATCATACATATTTTATATTTGAACTTTATTTATAATAAATAATCTATTTATTTAAAATATGGATTATTATTAGATTACATATTATATAATATATTAGTGCTGTCAAATTGATTAATCGCATCTAACATAAAAGGTGGTTTATATATATATATATATATATACAGTATCACGTATATATATTTAAATATATGCATACATATATGTGTGTACACACACACACCTATATATATGTACACATTATATAAACAAAAGCTTTTATGTTAGATATGATTAATCGCGATTAATCATTTTAACAGCACTAATATATATACTGTATATATATATATATATACAGTATGTGTGCGTATTTATATACACTGTATATATAAAATATAACTATAAAACATAAATTATATAAATCTAATATTTATATTTTATAGTAATATTTCATATTATATAATGTTTCTATTTATACACATGCACACAAACTCTTCAAAAACAAATCAGATTACATCTGCACATCATTGTATTTCATCAAAAAGTAGAAAATGTCCTTACTATGTAAAGTGCAGGCCTGCAAATCAATCTTACTTGGTTGTTCTTGTTTGTCCCATTCAAAGGTCATTTTTATAGAACTTAGATTCTGTGTTGATCATGATGCATCTAGTTTTAATCTTTGACCTTTGTTCAAACTTCAAACATTGATACACATCATTTGCATATATTCAAAACCTAGTTTTATTCAATTTTCACTTTTCAAATTCAAATCTAAAATCATCTGAATGTCATCTGATCCTGTTTTGAAGGTTGACACTACACCAACCCAGTTTGCTGACCCTAGCATTTATATCTGGAACATCTCTGGTAACGGAGAGTTGAAAAAGGTCCCTGGTGTGCAGGCGCCCCCTATGCACAGGCCACGCCACTGCGCCGACTACGGCAGCATCCTCCAGCAGGTGTCTGATGTGCACCGGATCAAAGTCTCACACTTCCACTTCTCCCTCAACTGGTCCTCCGTCGTCCCAACAGGCCGGGTGTCTGATGCTAACGAAACACTGCTAAGATACTACCATTGCTTTGTTAGCGAGCTACATAAGGTTAACGTAACCCCTGTTGTGACCCTTTGGCACCACACAGGGAAACTATCCAGCCTCCCGGCATCCAGGGAGGCTGGTGGGGGCTGGCAGAGCGAGGAGACAGTCCAGGCATTTGCAGACTATGCCAGGTTGTGTTTCCAACGGCTGGGAACTCATGTCAAGCTGTGGATCACTCTGAATGAGCCTAACGATGAGGATCTTGAATACACTGTGGGCCACCAGCTTCTTCGTGCGCACGCGTTAGCTTGGCACGTCTACGACAGCGAGTTTCGCAAAGCCCAAGGTGGAAAGGTATCGCTGGTTCTTCATATGGACTGGGTCGAACCTGCGTTTTCCTTCAGCAGGGAGGATGTGGCGCCTGCAAACCGAGTCCTGGACTTTCGAGTCGGCTGGTTTGCTGAGCCCATCTTCGGTAGAGGTGATTACCCAGCGGTGATGCGTAGCTGGCTCCAACAGCGAAACAATATCGATCTCTTCAACTACCACTTACCGACCTTCAGCAAAGAGGATCAACTGCTGGTAAAAGGAACCTACGATTTCTTCGCCATCAGCCATTTTACTACCTCAATGGTATATGATGGAGTGGAAGACAAATACACCTTCAAGGACAAGTTGCAGGTTCAGTTGATATCTGACGTGACCTGGATCATGTCTCCAAGACGCAACTCTCCTGTGGTCCCCTGGGGTCTTCGCAAGGCACTGAACTGGGTTAACTCCCGATACAAAGGGGTTCCCATTTATGTGATGGCCAATGGTGTTCAAGAGGACACCGCTAGGTTTAAGGATAGCTTGCGCGTCTACTACCTATACAACTACATTAATGAGGCCTTGAAAGGTAAGAAACTGTATAATGTTATGTGTTGCCTTTCACTAGAATTTTTTTTTGTTTTGTTTTTTTGGCTTTGTCAAGTGCTCTGTCTCAGTCACTGAATTAAAATGATGGTGTAAAATACTGTACATTAATTAACTTATCAAAGAAACAAGCACAGAAAACTAATATATTATAATACATATTTATACACTCACCGGCCACTTTATTAGGTACACCTGTCCAACTGCTCGTTAACACTTAATTTCTAAGCAGCCAATCACATGGCGGCAACTCAGTGCATTTAGGCATGTAGACATGGTCAAGACAATCTCCTGCAGTTCAAACCGAGCATCAGTATGGGGAAGAAAGTTGATTTGAGTGACTTTGAACGTGGCATGATTGTTGGTGCCAGAAGGGCTGGTCTGAGTATTTCAGAAACTGCTAATCTACTGGGATTTTCACGCACAACCATCTCTAGGGTTTACAGAGAATGGTCCGAAAAAGAAAAAACATCCAGTGAGCGGCAGTTCTGTGGGCGGAAATGCCTTGTTGATGCCAGAGGTCAGAGGAGAATGGCCAGACTGGTTCGAGCTGATAGAAGGGCAACAGTGACTGAAATAACCACTCGTTACAACCGAGGTATGCAGCAAAGCATTTGTGAAGCCACAACACGCACAACCTTGAGGCGGATGGGCTACAACAGCAGAAGACTCCACCGGGTACCACTCATCTCCACTACAAATAGGAAAAAGAGGCTACAATTTGCAAGAGCTCACCAAAATTGAACAGTTGAAGACTGGAAAAATGTTGCCTGGTCTGATGAGTCTCGATTTCTGTTGAGACATTCAGATGTTAGAGTCAGAATTTGGCGTAAACAGAATGAGAACATGGAACCATCATGCCTTGTTACCACTGTGCAGGCTGGTGGTGGTGGTGTAATGGTGTGGGGGATGTTTTCCTGGCACACTTTAGGCCCCTTAGTGCCAATTGGGCATCGTTTAAATGCCACGGCCTACCTGAGCATTGTTTCTGACCATGTCCATCCCTTTATGGCCACCATGTACCCATCCTCTGATGGCTACTTCCACCATGTCACAAAGCTCTAATCATTTCAAATTGGTTTCTTGAACATGACAATGAGTTCACTGTACTAAAATGGCCTCCACAGTCACCAGATCTCAACCCAATAGAGCATCTTTGGGATGTGGTGGAACGGGAGATTCGCATCATGGATGTGCAGCCGACAAATCTGCGGCAACTGTGTGATGCCATCATGTCAATATGGACCAAACTCCCTGAGGAATGCTTCCAGCACCTTGTTGAATCTATGCCACGAAGAATTGAGGCAGTTCTGAAGGCAAAAGGGGGTCCAACCCGTTCCTAGCATGGGGTACCTAATAAAGTGGCCGGTGAGTGTATAATAATTAGCAATTCCTAATCTACTTTGTTTTTATTATAAATTTCATATACATTTTGATAAAATTATAATTAAAGGAAATATTAATTATATTAATCATAACAAATTATATATTGATATTAAGTGTAACCCACAGGTATAATTATATATTAACAATTAAACTTATTTTAAGGGTAATCAAACATTGTTTTTATCCATTGTCATTTTATCACATGTTTTAGATATATCTCAAACTTTTTTTTAATATCTGTAGGGTGTCCTAGATTTAAGTTTCCTAGTACTGTAACCCACTTGGATAAGTTCTGATGACTCAAATCTATGCCGTTTCTATTTAGAGGCACAAATCTCAGGCTGTACACACACATCCACACGCAGCAGCTTAATTATTACACAGAAAACTAGGGAAACAGTTTGCTGACCTTAGGAAAACTAGCGAGCCGCTCTTCATCTGAGCTTTGGAAAAATATTTGTTTACTATTCTCAAAACACTGGCAAGGTCTCGCTTTATAGTTACGTCATGGGTTCAGGAGTTCACTTCACTCGTATTCTAACCTCTGATTTGTTCTTTTAGCATATACGCTAGATGGAGTCAATCTAAAGGGCTATTTTGCATATGCATTCAGCGACCAGCGGGACCCAGGCTTTGGCATGTACGGTCACGTGCAGGAGGAGGTCATTCTGAAATCTTCACTGGCCCATTACAAAAACATCATCCACCACAATGGCTTCCCTGCCACAGGCACACCTCAGCAACAATGTGCCCATGCTCCAGTGCACAGCTCTGGCCGTTATGTCCTCACCAAGCAGCCGGTCGTTGGCTTTCTCTCTCTGGTGAGCTCTTGCATGCTGATCACAGTGTGCCTTATTATCTACTACGCAATAAAGAGGCACAAATTAGCCACCAGAAAATGAAGGGAAATGGTTCCAGTGGACTCTTATACTTTTAATTTATTTATTTTAATGGTTAGTTTATGACACCCTACATAACACTGCTTTTAACTCAACATGAGCCTGACCACTTATTTAATTTTAGCATTATCATGTAAAACCACTATTTATTTGTAAAAAATAAAATATGTGTATTATTTGGGCACGTTTGTTATTTCACAGGGGGTTGTAAAAACAAGTTAAGAGGGAAAGTGTTTCAGATTCAGAAACTGACTATGGTTAGTATAGCTAAATGATGTCATACATTGTCAGATATATTAAATAAATGTTTTCAAAGTAATTAAGTCCGATATCTTTAATTTTCTTAATTTTTATATTACCTGTATTAATATATATGCACTTTTATAATTTTCTGTAACATCAAAGCCTTTTGTCATATGTACAATCCAAAAATCTGTAATTTTCTTTATTTTTCTGCTTTATGTTGTCAATTTTCTGCATATTTCATACATTTCCAAGTTCCCTAAAGAGGTACAGGAAATAGCAAAAACAACAGTCCAAAAGCATTTTAAATAGCTTTTATTATGAAAAACAAACAGTTATCCAACATATCTTATTAATTTTTGGCTAGAATAGTTCAGAACATAAAGTTGTCAAGTCCATCTTCCATAAACTTCTTGTAGATGGCCATGAATTTAGCTACAAAGGCCTCCAGGTGGTAAATAGCTTTGTTGCCGAGCTGCAGTCTGTGCTCATAGTACGCCGCCATCTGAACCACCTCGGCCTTCAGGTGTCCATCACAGTTACTCAGCAACTCCGTCACCAGGCCCTGGAATACCAATGCCAACAGTGTTGATGCTGTGATTGTACACCAAATCAAGCTGTAATTTAACTTTAATTTCCCAGTATAAAACATTTTAAATAAGCTGAAAATAAACAGCTGTACCTTCATGATGACATCTGGTGGGATGCAGTGAGTTAGAAGTTCATACAATCGTGCCCGAACCTCTAAAAGTCTGTAAAATTAAAACAAGTTTGTAGCCATTTGCAAACATCTCAATTACTGCTTAAAAAAATAAACAGGCTACGTAATCCTAAGTTAATTAAGAAAAGTTATCATGATGTAAAATAAATAAAAAAATCAATTCCACATTTACTAGAATCACTAAAGAAAATAAGTGAATGATTTTTTCTTAATCCTGAAAAGGACTTTGGCCAGTCATGCTCAAGAAGTTGATATTTATTAATATCTATTGCTTTTTAGGTCCTGTTATTAGCACTGGCAGACAGCTGGTGATTTTTTTATTTTATTTTTTTGCTTGTATTTATGCATGTTGTGACCTTTGAGGGCTCTGCTGGCTGACTATAGCATTAGCAGTCTCTCTGAGGTACACCTCCCAGTCTGTCACAGGGATGTCCTGGTCTGGAGAGAATGGATACCTGCAGGAAAGTACATTTGGGAACAGAGAACATAAATTGAATGTTTGGCTTGCTTCACACTTCAGGTGAGTTATGTTTATTCATTCAGAAGCTGGATACAATCATTCATTTTTTATTTATCACTGGTAAATAGAACAGTCTCTTTATTCTGGTTGAAGCGAAGGCTCTCACTGTTGAACTCTGCAGGCTTCACACATAAGCAGTGCTTTACGGAGGTTACGGCCAGATTTCTCAGCAATCTGTCTGGCCAGTTCAGGAGGAAGCAGCAGGCCCTCCTTCCTGCAAACGCCTGACAGGACACTGCACACCTGAGAAGATGAAGAAGGTTGGGTTGTTTTCAGATGTAAGGCAAAACACAATTCATTTAAAATATATAGTTAAAAAAGCAGAGTCAATATGACAATTTACAAGAAATGTTTTCTATTTTAAAATGTAATTTATTTCTGTGATGGCAAAGCTGAATGTTCGGCATCATTACTCCAGTCTTCAGTGTCACATGAACCTTCAGAAATCATTCTAATATGCTGATTTGATGCTCAAGTAACATTTCTTATTATTATCAACGTTGAAAACAGTTGTGCTGCTTAATATGTTTGTGGAAACCTTGAAACATTGTTCCAGGATTCTATGATGAATAGAAAGTTACAAAAGCCATTTTTATAGAAAAAAATTAAATCTTTTGTAACATCCTATCACTTTTGATTAACTTAAAAGTATTAATTTCCTTTCAACCTCACCTCTTCCACACTTGGCAGAGGGACTCTCACAGCCAGACACCTGCTCCTGATGGGGGAGATCACTTTTGAGGTGGAGTTACAGCAAAGAATCAGTCGACAAGTGGACATGTACTTCTCCATCGTACGCCGCAAAGCATGCTGGGCATCTTTAGTGAGACGGTCCACCTCAGTCAGCAGCACCACTGTGAATAGATTCATTACTGCCACTACTGTTAGAAGTGTACTGGATCACTAATAAAAGGTTATCATATCCGAACACAGCTCTTAGCTATTCAGCTGATTCAGATTAATGATCTAACCCAATGAAAGAACAAAGCCGAACCTTTGAACTCTCTCTGGGCACTGGACTGAATCTGCTGAGACTGGGCGACAGTTTTTATCAGCTCCTGAATGACCACACGGTCACTGTTCCCAGCATCACTGAGGAAAACAGATCAGATATGAGGGAACTGCAAGTGAAGACTCCAGTCCAAACATAGAGTAAATCTTTTTTATTACCTTGGATTCACCTCTAGATGATAGTTGCTGGCAATAGTGTTGATTTCAAGCTTCTTTTTAGATGGAGTCTACAAGAGACAAACAGTAACAGTTAATTAATACTGTAGTAAACTATGAACTAGTAGGTGTTCAAAGCATCTGATGTTTTTAATACCGTGATGGACTGGTGTTCAATCCTGAGTTTCTCGACCCCGGGTCCGTACAACTCTCTGAGCAGACACATGATCCGTGTTTTCTTCCCAGCACCAGGCGGTCCATAAACCAACAAGTGTGGAAAATCACCACACTGGACCTGAAGAATCAAACCGCGAGACACCATTATATCATCTAATTGATATTAGGCACATTTAAGTTTATATCACCAGTAATGTTACTGCAATTGTAAAAATAAACTATTTTTAAAAAATGTCTTCAGCTAGAGAGCGCAATGGTGTACATGTTGGTAAAATATAATTCACGTTTAACGTTAGTTATTTGACGTGACTTGAGTCAGACATAAACAGCACCAACACCAATTAGCTTTCTATAGTTTCTGCTTTTTTACCAGGTTTTTTAGATGGTTTGCTTGCTCCTTGTGGTAGTCGAGTTTAGCCAAGGACGTTGGTCTATATTTATCCACCCATAAACTCATTTTTCTATCTGAATGATGAGAATATTTAATATGTTATTGTGAGAATTTGAGCCGCCTGCTCCCGCGAAACATAAACCCGCGCAGTGGTGCTGCTGTCAGAACGGCAACTACAGGGAGCGAGGGAGGACAAGTGCTTTCGCGTTTCGTAAAACTCAATACTTTGCGGCGCTCTTTACAGTTTCAAACTAATGAATTCACAACATAAATTCAAGAATTATATTACACATTAAACTGGTATGGATTTATTGTAAGATATTGGTTTGTTTTAACAATATTTCATGATAATGCCTAGCTTTATTTTCATCAGATGACGCAAGTATAAACTAATGATATGGCCGTGTCAAAATAAAAACACAATAAAAGTATATTTTCATTGTCAATGAAAATAGTGCAATGAAAGTGAATGGTGAGGTTGTCAGTGGTTCTGCCTAACCTCTTTTGTTGTTGATGATGTTGTTCAACAGATGTAGCCTAGAACAATAACAATAATTTCAGGAAAATACATAAGCACGTCAATAGAAATCACCATATCCATTTTTCACCCTGTGATTGTGAACAACTCTTTGTATTTGTGAATAACAACAAATGTTATTAGGCCAATTGTAATCAGGTAAGAAGAGCAGTGTTAATCTGCTTCATCTGCTTTCAGTAATAATATTGTCTAATTTGTTGAAGATATTTCAATTAATATTTCATTCATTCATCAGTCTGTTGCACACCATATTAGGTAGAATAATAATTCTAAATCTTTTGTATCGAACATATAAGAACTGTTATTTTCAGGTTGTACTTGAGTCATATACGAAATGGGTGCCATTTCCACTTTGCAATTTTCCAAATTTTCATGAAGAACAAACTTTTTTTTTTTAACTTACAACTTTAAAGATATGTTAATCCTAAAAAAAAAAAAATATATTTTCCCACCTCAGGCACAAAATCCTTAATAATATTATCTTTTTCATTCAGGCAAGGGAGTCTTTCTTGTACCACCCCGTCACGGACAACAACACGGACACGGATGATAGACTATCATGGACAATATGTAGGCTATGCCATTAGAGTAGCAAAACAAGAAATATATTTTTCAAATCTAATGTTTTCCTAATAGTAAAATGTCTCTTTTTTGGAAACCATCAATAGAAAGACTGTAATTTAATCTTTTTTATTATTATTATTAGTTTTTTTAATGTTAAATTATGAATTTCGCCATTTCAATGGCCTCATTGTTATAGCCTTCTGAAAAAACGAATACACTTAAAAAATACAAATAAAGTTACATTTCAACATTGAACATTCAACATTGATTTATGTAAAATTTCATTTAATTTATGTAAAATTTGAACAGAATGACCCTGTGACGGGGTGGTGATGTCATGGAGTGGTTCATAGGGTGGTATGGACAAAGTGTTTCTCTCTGCTGGTTTTAAACTTTAAACTGGGGGAGGGGAAACATTAAAATTGGAGATTTCATGTAAAACGTTGGTCATGCTCTGAAAAACTGAAAAGAGCATCATAACAGTGAAAATAATAAATGTTTTAAAAAAATACATAACTTATGTGGTGATATTTTAGATGCAAATGTCATCTTGGTCAACACGGACATGTGAAATTGGCTAATTTAGCCTACTAATGAAAAATTATTAAAAATAGTATGTTATTCTTTAAGAATAGTATTTTTATATATCATGTTAACAAGAACACTTGAATGAATAACTTTAAGCTTTGTAAACACATTTTGGGACATAGTTGTGCCTTATGCATCTCTTCAAACGTTGCGGACCCAAATGGCACCAGTTTCGTAGAATAACTCACTTCCATTCCCGCCGTCCTCTCTTGGTGGTTTGTACGGTCATTCAGATCTGCGTTCAGATCTCCCTTTTAGGTTAATCTGTTCCCGTGCTTGTGTGGTTCAGCTGACAAACTACCTCTGAATGAATGAAAGGATCTATCTGCCAACATGCCGTCCTCATAAAATGGACCTGAATGTATACACTATAGGCTACATTGATGTTCCTAACAGATGCTTTCTTACACAGTTTCTGGGATTCAACCCATATGAAACAAGGTCTATCTTTTGTTTATTCCTCGAGTCTCACCTTCATCATGTCCTACATCTCACATTCTTGAAGTCATATATGCTGCATTTTTTATTTAGCCAAAACAGCTAGTCTGATTACCATGTCCCTACCGATGTTGATCTCAAACTTACAATTTTGTATGACATTCTGTGAAATCATAGCACATACAAGTCTGTGGGGAAACCATAATCTCATCTATTTTGTAAACGGCTCTCATTCTGTCAGATTTTTTGTTCACTTTCTGAGCTCTGTTCATGAGTAAGATGTGAGCAAGAATAACATGGTGTTTGCTGTTAAATGATATTGCTGGTGTTGTGGTATCTCAGGAATCCTCTTTAAATCACAGAAATGTATGCATTTCAACAGGAATTTCAGCTGTCTGTTTAAATGGTTTCTGCTGTCATGCCAATTTCACATGCATGAATGGCCTTGTCACAATTTCACAAAGCATAAATATCATAGGGTCACTCTGGTTAAACATAATTATGGGTTATCTTTTTCATGTTTTCCTCTATTTTGCATTAATTAATCCTAGTTCCAGTGTTTCAACTTGTGCTTTTGTTAAACCCGTTTTTTCCCCCCAATTTGCATATTTATGGGCTAACTAAGGTCAATAGATTGGACCCATCTCCACAATCACTTGTCATGGGGAAGTGTAGAAAAGTATGTTTCAAGTCACCTCAAACCAGTGTTGTGTGTAACGCGTTACAAAGTAACGCGTTACAGTAACGTAACTACTTTTTCGGGTAAAAAGTAGTGTAACGCGTTACTACTGAAAATTTGGTAACGAAACGTAGTTCCTTTTTCAATTCCGCACAACGTTACTTTTCCCCATGGACAAATTTGACAGCAACACTGTCTCCTCAGCTGCGCGCTTGCAATAGTCACAAGCTCCACATGGTACGTGACAGAGGCTGGTAGCAGAGCAATCAATTCTGTGAATTACACTGCGCAAACCAAAAGTAATACTCCCACCGGATGAAGAAGGGTTGGCTCTCCACAGAACATAAAATATTAATTGTATTGAATTTTTCGTGTTCGCATTTATGAGGAAAGAAACAATGTTATGGACGTAACAGTTCTTCGGACTTGACCGCTCTGAAAGCGGCACTAAAAGACTGCTTTAAATCTTTCACAGAGACCTCAAACAGGCATTTAAAACACCAAATATTAAGGATTGGCATATCAAGCAAAATAATATTCGATGATTGCTCGAAAATCGTACCTCTACCTCTACATGCTTACAGTAAGACGGGGTTCGCTCAAATCCCGCTCCGATATTAAATTTCTTTGTATAGACTGCGTGTTGTAGCCTAGTCATTAAAGAAAACGATTTAGTTTCATATTTATGTTTAAATAAAATCATTTATTTTTTAATTTCATCAATGTTGATTAGGCTATATGAAAAGTGAAAAGCATGAGTAAGAGCATAAGATGCGCAATCGGGAGACAAATGGAGTGGGCAGACATGATTTTGACCACTTCATTAAGTTTGTTTTTGTAGAAAGCCTTTCTTTAAAGTGAATTTCGTTTTGTATTAATTGTATCTTAATTTTAATCAATGTTTCATCAACCAATTGTCTTTAATAAATAAGCAGTAAATATAGCAGGCAATATAATCAGGACTTCTCAGGAGCTCCGTGTCGGCGCGTGGACTGAGCTCGTCTCATAAATGAACCGAAACTTAGCGCAAGCTACTTGCCTCAAAGATCTGAGAAATATATAGAAAGCTTGAAATGTGTACTTTAAAACAAAACTATTCAAAACGAGAGAAAACAGACTCTCTGCTTATGTAATCCATATGAAATGTGCATTTCTCTCTGGCGCGTTCACTACTGTGAAGATCGCGAGTCAGCATCGTCAACTTTATCTTTGCAGCCGACACTGACTGACAAAGAAAACACTTGTTTATTAATAAACAATTGAAATGTCTCCTTGCTATATTTGATATTCGATATTCATAATCATTTCTTTTGCCGATTCTTTGTGACATTTTTCATGAACGCGTCACCACCGCTCAATAGTTAATATTGTGCTTTGGTGTTCAGTTTATACAGGTTTTTCAAATCTTATTTAAATAAATATTTTTTTTTTCTATCTCAAAATCTCTCTTTTTTTTCTAGTTTTTTTTCTAGTTTTTCAATAAGTAGAGTTCATAGTAGAATTTTATGTAGGCCTACACATTTAGGAACAGATATTGGGTTCTGCCCAAAGTCAAGCAACATAAAAGTAACGTAAAAGTAACGAGTAACATAAAAAGTTACTTTCCAAAGGGGGTAACTAAGTAAAGTAACGGATTACTTTTTTTAAGAAGTAACGAGTAACGAGAAAACACTACTTTTTAAAAGTAACTTCCCCAACACTGCCTCAAACGCACAAAATAAAACAACTAGCCAACAATTTCTTCACGGAACGTGTACCGTCACTGGTATTTTCATTTTTCTCTGATATGCTAAAACTAGACCGCGCTTGAAAACAACAGCGTGTATGAATATTTCATGAGGTAAGTTCTACGGCAGTTTCCGTTCCCCCACCCATATGATGAAAGATGTTGATGTATAGGCTGGCTTAGGCTAGTGGTTTAAACGCAAGCATTGAGAGGCTGTGTGCTGTATCGTGAACAAGTTACGGCTTTGCGTCGTGCCTGCAACCTCTTCAGCCATGACCTATTTACGATACAGAACTAGTACCTTATTGCTTTTATACAACGGTTACCACACAAAGCCCAAAAAATGTCCCTGATCGTGAAGCAACATAAGTTACAATATTACGCCGTTAGATGGCGGAAAAGGCTGTCTTTATGAGTTAGTCAGTTAGTAGGCCTAGTGAAGACTTTTATATTGAAAGGACTGAAACTTCTTGTGAACACAGAGGAGCAAGATGCGAACCCATGATGCAAACTGATGCATTGAATAGCGCTGTCAGAGTCAAGGCACTTGAAAACCCCTTCATTATTAAAAGGACAAGATATCGCAGATCGGATTT